TGCCTGCTCATAACATACATAACAAGGTCATGAACAATGTCACTACTCACTTATACAACAACCTATGTGAACTAGAAGAATACAGAGACCGAGTCAATTTCTTTGCTTTCAGTTAGCAGGACCATAAGAGATTATCAACATTCTTGATCAATTATTGATTTAGTGACATTAATGAAAGATTCCAACCTAAACCCAATAAATTCCTATACCCTACCAAACAAATGAATCTCACACGGTAGACTTTTCAAATTCACTGACCCACAAAATTCACAGCAAACTTTTTCAGTACTTAATAGTTAAGTCCCAAGCAAAAACAGAGAAAGATCAATTGGGTAAAAAACAGAGTCACCTGATCGCCGAAGAAAATGGCCCAAGCCAGAGGCTTACTAAACAAAACTCTTCCTTTCATCAAACCCACCACGCAACGAACCGCCTGAACCAAAGAATAACCCGCGGCTATGCCATTGACGACCACCAAAAGCCTGAACTCAGAGAACGATTGTTACTAAAGTTGCGAACTTTACACAAAAGCCATAAAATTGAGGAGTTTTTGTCATGAAGCTTACACAAGCGCCTTCATGTCGGTGAATTTGGCTTTCTTCTGAATCATGAAAATCTCTCTCACTTGAACATCTGTAGCAATGAGAATCGCAGCGACGAGAGCAAGGACACAAACCAAACACCTCAGAATCAACTCCGTGATTCTCACTTTCCGATCAATCAGCTTCATTTTGGTAGTACTTCCGGGGACGTTTCCGGGACTAACTCCGACTCCCAAATAACTCATCTCTGTCCGTAAACTTGATTTCTTATTAAAAGATGAAAACTTTGTGAGATTTTCAGAGAGACTGTTGATAGAAACAAAAACACTGATTTGTTGTTTGTTAGTTGGATCCTTTGTTGCTTTTAGAGTGTGTTGCTACAGCTCTCCGTGTTAAAGCAACAAGTGGCTTAAATAGAAAAGAGACTATTAATGTAATTAATTGCAAAATTTGCAGAGACTATTGATTTTAAAGGTGTAGAGTTTGAAATCATGTACCCGTGACTATCCCTATCCCTAAGACTAGTTTGTTAATCATTTGCATAGTTTAGTTTTGTTGGTGTTGAATAAACTACACAAATCTTAAGTACATATACAAATGTATAATTTGACTATGGATTGGGGAGATACATAGATCAAACAGAGGTGACATGTGTCGTGGACGAGAGATGTTCGTAGAAGTAATCACACGGAACCATGATCATTGCCCATATCTACGCGGTATTTTAATGATATAAAAGTAAGATTTGTGGGATATGAATATGGTCGGTTTGAGAACATTTAAGGACTTACAATTATTAGTGGAAAAGATGGAGACAGACAAGTGAAAGTGAAATACTATGAAAGTGAAGTTATGAAGTTTCCTCCACACACTTTTTAGTGAAACACAGTTTGCATTTTTGTTGAGATTTTAGAATCAAATTTTGGAATTAGCAACTCTGCTATTAACTTATGCAATGGATGTGCGTCTAGGAAAAATAGATTTCGGATTTTAACCCACAAAAAGACAAAATGATGATCACTAAGTTACCATTATTTAGTACTGCTTTAAACAATTTTCATGTTTGATAATGAGGAAATTTAGTAATTTAGAACATTGTACAAAAGTTATAAAGAAACTCTTAGAAAGATTTAGAAAAATGGGCTTTGCAATGACTATTGAGACGGTACGTGTATCCAATAGTGGGGTTGGTGGTCTATGGAAGTGGTGTGGTGCATCATTGCATGGGGTTGGTTAAATTTAAAAGTCATTCATTTGTGTAATCATGGTTCTCTGTTTCCACCGTAACCCAAACTAAATTGTTGACAACTAAGAGTTTTTAAACAAGTAAATCATTATTAACTTGAGATCATCAAAGGTAAAACAATTTCTATGCGTCCAAACATTTACATTAGTATGGTTCTAACCATTGTTCTCAGAGGATCTTACATAAAACTTGATATTGTGTAACCGGTTCGCGAGGCTTCTAGTGCTAAATTACATTTGTATGTTTTTTTTTGTTGACGTAAATTGAAAACTCCTTCATTGAAAAATCGTTGGCCGAATGTTAAGCTAGGAAAAATAATAATAATGAACTAGGAGCCACTAACAATGTGTTGAAATTTAAGTCGAAGTCGACACTGAACACACACACATTTTATAAGCATGGGTGAACTGCATGAGACCCACACTTTACATTACACAAGTCCGAGACCGAGATGGGATTAGTAACCTCATGTGCAGTGTCACCTTCCTAACTTGTAAAAGTGTACAACCTTAGGAGGGTTGTTTATTCAGTCTGATGGCCCAACAACATATTACAATTTACAACAATTTGAATGGGTCTTAAAAATCAATAAAGCTACAAATAAAAATAAACCTAATGGGCTTAATTGGGCTCTCTCGTAGAATTAACAAAAGGCCCGTGATGTTAAAGGCGGTGTGATTCTTTAGGGCTTCCTCAAAACCCTAATATCTTAGGTATAAATTGACACAACGCACCACCTTCCTTCTCATCTTCACTTCTTCAACCTTTTCCACTCTTACGATTCCTTAAGAATCTCCTTCTAGCTTATCTTGTATTAATTTTGAGTTTTGTAGGGTTTAGGTTGTTTGATTAAGTTAGCAAGTTAGGGATTAGTTACGTGACGAGATTTCTCTCCAAGGAATCTATTACTAAAAGATGGAGCAATCTGAAATTGTGATTGCATAATCCACTAGTAAACGTCACAAAGCAATTGGGCATGCCTATGGACGTTGATGGAGCTCTAGGGCTTCTCCGTTTTGGGTATCTTGCTATTGGCTCTCATATTCCATTGCCTTGCGGAGCGGCGTCGCTGCTTTTACCGTTTGGGACCGGCCATGAGATCTATATTCCTCTGTTTTGTTTTTTTCAGTTTTGTCTAGTTAGGGTTTGATTAGCCAATGAGGACATCAGATTATAAAAGAACACCATCTTTCGGGACTGATTAATATTGATGATACTTCTGCAATTCTGAGGCTATTTTTTTGATCAGTTTTGTTTTTGATTAGTATAGAAAAGGCAGTGATGAACGAGAATGTCATGCACCACTCTGATATTAGTGCTGATAACCATCTCTAACCCATATTTTCTCTGAGCCTTTATTATTTGTGAATTTACGTTTGTTTGTTTAAAGATCTAAAGGGTATAAATAGCCAGATGATGGTCATTATAATGACTTGACCTTGATGCGGACTGTATTTCTTTGATGATAACTTTTGGTTGCTGATGGTTATATTATTACCCTTTTACGTTGTGACTGATTTGGTTTTGTGTTTACATTTGTTTACGAGGGACACAATATGTGATTCGGTTATAGTGTTGGCTTTGTTTTACAGATTCAGTTTACTGATTGGATCTTCGACGAAGTTGTCTGAGTTGTACCTGTTGCTTGATGATGGTTCTTGTAGCGTATTATTTGAAGTGTTTAGCCGTGGAAGACTATTATGCTTTATTCATCGTGTATATACGTTCTTGTTCTGATTTACGATCTTCAGTTTTGGAGATCGATGTCTATGTATTATTATGTTCCCAAATCCTGGCAAAAAAAGTTATGTTTTTCTTGAAATTGCTATTCATCATTATCATGATACAATATTCATATACATTCCATTTCATTAGTACGTTTTCTTGAACTTACTCATCCATCAATCTTTGATGTCACGAAGAAAAGAAAGATGTCTTTATAATTTAATGCAATTGCATCATCTACAGAACGGATTTAAGCTATGACGAGCCCTTGTGTAGATTTCTTAATTGTTGTCCCCATTTGTCGACTAAAATTCCCTTCTGTGAGAATCCTCTCCGGTCTCAATATGTTTACAGTATCTTAAATTAAACACTTGTTAGTCTAACTAAGAGTATTAAAAGCGATTTAAACCAAAACCTTATTGCCAATCAAATCACCCTTCAAGGAAAAACTGGTAGTGTCATGAATGATGAATCATGATGTGTATCTTACCAACACCAAACAACTACTGAAAAGGCGACAATTGTTGTGTTCTAAGTCCCGAGCAGAGACATAAATTCGTGTACACCAGAGATTCCAGAGCGTAAAATAAAGGAAATACCGGAACACATTCATAAGATAAAAAAAACATCTTTCTACAAACTCCTATATCTTTAACTTTAAAACCAAATAAGTCAAACGTAGCTTAGAACTTTATCTCTGTTCGTTGTTTCCGGAATAAAAAAATTCATATTTACACAAATTGAGATTTTTGAAAATATGTCTCTCTTCTGGCCACAATGACTCTTCAATAGTAAGTATGTGATTAACCATCTCTACCTGTCATCCACACATCTACAACATCTAATATAACACTCGCAGCTCATGCATACATAATCACACCTGCCAAATAAAATATTTAATTATTATACTTTGAAAATTAAATTATTTAGCTACCTGTAAATAATGGCCTAATGGGCTTGCAGAGCAAATCTATTGGGCCATTGAGGCGGATAATTAATTCCCCAAGGCGGTGTGAGTCTCTCCTAGGGCTTCCAATTTCTCTTGTATATATACATATCCGCGCGCATACTCTGTTCTCATCCGATCTTCGTCCTCCTCAATTCTTTTGATTCCTTATTCTTTCTATTTTTTTATTTTGTGTATTTCAGTATTTGTCTCGATTTTGATATATGTTGCGTGACGAGATTTCTCTCCAAGGAATCTATTACTAAAAAGTTGGAGCTATCTTAAAATTGTGATTGCATAATCCACTTGTAAACGTCACAGATCAATAGGGTAAGCATAAGGACGTTGATGGAGCCTTAGGGCTTCTCCGTCCTAGCTATTACCACTGGCTCTCATATTCCATTGCCTTGCGGAGCAGCGTCGTTGCTTTTACCGTTTGGGACCTGCCATGAGATCTATATTCCTTTCTTATTCTCAAAATTTCTGTGTTCGTTTGGTTTTCAATTTTTCTAATTAGGCCTTATGTCTAATTAGGGTTTAGTAGCCGATGTGGATATCAGATTATAAAAGAACACCATCTTTCGGGACTGATTGACTTCTTTTGAAGTTTTGCTGATACTTCTGCAATTCTGAGGCTTTCTTTATTTGTTTGGTTGCTTGTGGTTTGATTAGAAGTAGAGGCAGTGATGATTGAGAATGTCATGCACCACTCTGATTTTTTGTGCTGATAACCATCTCTAACCCATATTTTATCTGAGCCTTTTCTGAATTGTTATATGACTTTTGGTTCTGAATGGTTATTACTACCCATTTAGATGTGTTGTCTGAATTAGATTGATTCATTGTGGTTCACTTATGAATTATGTTTGTGTGAAGGGTTTTCTACTAATTGTTCACATTGGTTGGCTTTGTTCGTAATGGTTATGTTGATGGGAGCTTATGCGGAGGGTTTGGAGGTTGTCTCACACGTTGATTGTTTGGTTGCGGAAAGTTCTGAAGATTCAGTCCGAATGTTGATTTTTTGGTTGCGGAAGGTTCTGAAGATCCAGTCCGAATATCATATGGTTAAGAGCGTTGTGAAGATCTTGTTGCATTTTACGACCTTGAATTCTTGTTATAGCTACATGAGTTTTTGTACGATTTCTAATTGTTTTAGCTTTGATATAATGAGACATTGTTTTTCCCAAATTTCTTAAGTTGTAGATGTTCCTTCCGTGCTTGAAAACAAAGAAAATCCAAACGATTCTTTTCAGTTTTCATCAATCAATTGGAGCACCTGCTTCCTTCAGATTTATATCTTTATGAAATTAGACTTTGACCGCAAAAAAAAAAAGAGACTTGATGGACTTAGGGTAGCAGAGAACTGTACAAGGTGTTTAAGATTCTGAACTGTCCGAATTGGTTTTCTGTCTTCAGTTTTGTTTCGAATCCCTCCAATAGATAGATGAATTATATAAGAAATGTAGGTTATGTTCATGATTTCTTTTTTTTTGGGAGCAACCAGGTTATGTTCCAAAAATAGTATGGTTACAGTTGTACAAAACAGCAACTAAGGAGATAAAGTTTTGAACAGTTGAATGCAGAGGAAACACTCATAACAGATTTTTTCAAGTCAATAACAGACAGTTTTTTGCAAACTGTCACTCTAGCTAATCATTAAAAACTGGATATTGAGCCTGATTTGTTGTCTTCGAACTCTCCTATTCTTGGCGTTTCTTTTTTTTCTCAATCCATTATGCTCCTATAAATATACTCTTTCAAGTTTCAATGCTTGTAACTTTCTTCAGGACATCTTTTCTGGATTTACAAACATTTCTCGATCATTTATCGATCAGCGTAAGGTTTCGAGAAAACCACTTCAATTTGAGCATTTTAAAAACCACTTCAGTTAGAGAGATGGTGGAAGAAGCATCGAAATCAGAGCAGATAAATTTCACAGAGGTGTGGACGACGACATGGGAGACACCTTACATTATGCGGCTGGCTCTCTCTGCCGGTATTGGAGGACTCCTCTTCGGGTACAACACTGGAGTCATCGCAGGGGCTCTTCTCTATATAAAAGAGGAGTTTGGTGAGGTAGACAACAAGACATGGCTTCAGGAGATCATTGTGAGCATGACCGTGGCTGGAGCCATTGTTGGAGCAGCTATAGGAGGATGGTACAACGATAAGTTTGGTAGGAGGATGTCTGTTCTTATAGCGGATGTGCTCTTCCTGCTGGGTGCCCTGGTGATGGTGATTGCTCATGCGCCGTGGGTCATCATCCTCGGCAGACTCTTGGTGGGTTTTGGGGTTGGTATGGCTTCTATGACCTCACCGCTTTACATCTCTGAGATGTCTCCTGCGAGAATCAGAGGCGCCTTGGTCAGCACAAACGGACTTCTCATCACCGGAGGACAGTTTCTGTCTTATCTCATCAACCTTGCCTTCGTCCATGTAACCAACCAAACTAACTCACAAATATGTTTATTTTCTTTTCTTTTTTAAGATTTGAAAAGTCTCTAACTTACTGATCACTTACACAGACACCGGGTACATGGAGGTGGATGTTGGGAGTCTCGGCGATTCCAGCAATCATTCAGTTCTGCCTCATGCTAACGCTGCCAGAGTCTCCACGGTGGCTCTATAGAAATGATAGGAAAGCCGAGTCAAGAGACATCCTCGAGAGAATATACCCGGCAGAGATGGTTGAAGCAGAGATAGCTGCACTCAAGGAGTCTGTCCGGGCAGAGACGGCTGACGAGGATATTATCGGCCATACCTTCTCCGATAAGCTCAGAGGCGCTCTCTCGAATCCAGTTGTCCGCCACGGCCTGGCCGCAGGTATCACCGTCCAGGTCGCCCAGCAGTTTGTGGGAATCAACACAGTCATGTACTACAGTCCTACTATTCTGCAGTTTGCAGGTTACGCATCCAACAAGACAGCCATCGCTCTTGCTCTCATAACCTCCGGTCTCAATGCAGTGGGGTCTGTAGTAAGCATGATGTTTGTAGACCGTTATGGTCGGCGCAAGCTTATGATCATTTCCATGTTCGGGATCATAACTTGCCTTGTCATTTTGGCTGCCGTTTTCAATGAAGCCTCAAACCACGCTCCAAAGATCGATAAGAGAGACTCCAGAAACTTCGCAAAAAATGCTACTTGTCCCGCATTTGCCCCATTCACAGCCTCCCGTTCTCCTCCCTCCAACTGGAATTGTATGAAGTGTCTTCAATACGATTGCGGATTCTGCTCCAACGGAGCACAGGAGGTAATAAAGTCTCTTTACTCAAAACACACACACCAAAACAGTACTGGCTAGATGAATTAAGACTCATGTTGGGGTTATATGTGTTTTGTCACAGTACGCACCTGGAGCATGCATTGTTCAGTCTGCTGATATGAAGGCATTGTGCCACTCGAAAGGCAGAACCTTCTTCAAAGACGGATGCCCCAGCAAGTTCGGGTACCTGGCCATTGTCTTCCTTGGCCTCTACATCATTGTGTACGCGCCCGGTATGGGCACAGTTCCATGGATTGTCAACTCAGAGATCTATCCTCTTCGCTACAGAGGGCTCGCGGGAGGAATCGCTGCAGTCTCAAACTGGATGTCAAATCTCGTAGTGAGTGAGACGTTCCTGACACTGACGAACGCTGTCGGGTCATCGGGAACATTCCTTCTATTTGCGGGGTCATCCGCAGTCGGGCTGTTCTTCATCTGGCTGCTTGTACCTGAGACCAAAGGGCTTCAGTTTGAGGAAGTGGAAAAGTTGCTAGAAGGAGGGTTTAGGCCTAGTTTATTGCGGCCAACGACCATGGAAAATCAAGTGGAAACGCCTTAGCAGTACTTGTGGCTGCAAAGCCAAAAAAACAACATAACACATACAAATTTTTCTTAGTATGTCACTTCATATTCTTTTTACTCTGCTCATTACAGCAGAGACACAGAATGATATCTAATTAGAGACATACCCCCACATTATATAGTTGAAATATCACAAGTTATACATAGATCATTCTTGCAAAAGCTATATCATACTAACACTAACAAACTCCTTTTTGTATTATTATAATTTAGAAGTTTTTTTTTTGGTAAAACTTATAATCTAAAAGTTGATATGTTTTCTTAACAAGAATCAAAGATGCTTATACTAAAACTAGGCAAAATAGTGAGATAATGCTTTAGCAATGAAGAAAGAAAACGTAGCAAGTTGTCTGTTGTCTCTGTCTTTGTCTATAATGTAATGTTAACTTTATCTCGTTAAGTTCCCGCTTGTTCAATTTATCACAAGGGTCAAGGGAGATAGAGCCTAGTGAGTAGTGACACAAAGGAGACAAATTTACCTCTTTTGAGAGCAAAGAGGTTTCAAGTTAGCATATTTTGCAGCTTAAGAGTTGCACAGTTGAGCAGTTGAATCTTGATGACATCAACACAGATCAACGGATCTTCTTCCATGCTTGCCTATATGAATCAGAAAAGTTAAAGTTGATAAGATATTTAGGAGTGATAAAAAGTATAAAGTGTTAACCTTTAATTTGATTTCTCCATTAAAGTGGTAACACAAATACAAAATAAGGATTCTATGAGCAACATTGGATTGCTTGATGAAATTGACAGCGCCAAACACACACACAATCTCATCAAATGGAATGGCAAAAACAAAGCAATAAAAATTAGAACTGAGAGAGACCTGTCCAGATTTTTATGGCAGAATCAGTTTCGATAGCCATGAATTGATCAAGAGAATCTTCATCAAAGAAAAAAGAGACAAAATCAGAGAGAAGTATTTATGTTTGGGGTATTTCTGAATTCTGAGAAGAAGAAGCTACAAAATGCAATTCTATTATATAAAAAGGCCTCATTAGTTATTATTATTTATTTATAAGCCCAATCAAGAGTACTAAACGGCGTCGTAGCAGAACTCCCCAAATAAAACCCCGAGAATTCGTCTTTCTGTCTCTGTTGTTGACCTGAAAACTTGCTGCGGAGGAGTTCTGGAGTTGCAGAGAGATCGAGGATGGGAATATTCAGAAGCTGCTTCTCTTTCATAACGGGATCAGTTTTTGGGGTGTACTTGGCACAGAACTACAACGTTCCCAATATCCGGAAGCTCACCAACACCGGCCTCGTCGTCGCTAAGCACGTCGAAGAGAACTATCGCAAGCCCAAGAAAGACGATCCCCAATGATTTCCCGTACACACCAATCGCTTTCTCTTTCGTGTTTCTTCTAATTTTCGGACTTGTTCGGGTTTTTCACGTCTTTTTAGTTTTGGGAATTGAAGAAAAATCATCATCATTCATTCGCATATTGAATTTGGGGTTTCTTACTTGTGAATTTAGATTGAGATCGGAAACTTCAATTAGAATCTCGTGTTAGGAGCTTGGTCTAACAATGTTGTGTCTATGCAAACTCCAATCAGTTTCATTTTAATGTATTCAAGGTTTCAAATGTGAAGGTGATGGATGTTTGGAATGTGAAGGTGATATCTATAGAGAAGAGTGGAGGTGGTGTTGAAAGGCTTTCTCATCATATTAGGAGTTTTGGTTCTGCCAATTTGTTGCAGAGATTTGATTTCACTATCAAGTTTGATTAATTTACAAGGTTATCCATCAGTGGTGGCTGCTGGTTTTACTTGCATTCTTGTATGATTACTGA